AGTTAATACAGAATTGGTTGAAGAAGAATATATAACATCTGAGATTATTTATTTTTCTTTCAGAGCAGAATATCATGCTAAAAAACATTGTTCTGTATAAGTTGAACATCCACTATTAAGTATAAAATTTGTAAAAGTCAAAATAAATGTTATTATTTATTTAAAAAAACAAAGTAAGTAAAAATCAACTAAAAATAGGTGCAACGATTTAAACGAGCATATTTTTTATTTTCTTTATATATATATTATTTTCTTAATAATAATTAAACAAGTAAATGTATTATCTACAAAGTTATTTTTACGGAAGAAACTATGTTATTAAGTTCACATATTTATTTGTTTACAGTACGCTACTGATATATAAAGTTCTAAATGGTTAAAATATCAAAATAAAATAAAAAAGAAATTAATAAAATTGTCACAGTATAAAAATGAAGTCAATAGTGTAATAAAAGTTGACACTTTAAAAAATAAACCTTTTAAAATGTCATAATTTGAAAAATACTTATTGTAATTGGACATCAGTTGGTCTACAAATAAATTCTGTCCATAGTTAGTTCTATGAGCATTTACATAAAATAGTTTCATATGCCTAGTAAGTCTGGCAGGAACAAGGAATCTAATAAAGTGTACCAGGCTGTCACTATCAATCAAACCGTTCAATAACTTATACAGGAAAACAAATGATGCTTCTCGACATCTGCATTCCAAACTCTTATAGGTCCCTCTCAAAAATAACATCAAGATCATTTATAGTTTGCTCAAAACTTAGTTCAGAACCTGCAATGACAATCATGCATAATGATATTAGCTGTTTTATTAAACCTTATGACTTTACATTTATCAATATTCAGTTTATATCATATTAAAACTATGATTAGTACCAGTTGTAGGCAAATATCTTTTTAGCATCCTACAACTGCCATCTTAATAAAAATCTAGTGACTTTTGAAATATACCTTATATAAATACACTTTTTACTACTTTTGTACAATCGTGCACCATTTTAGCTACCAGTGAACATTTGCAATATAGGTACCTTATTATACTCTTTCGTGCAAGCGTTCAGTGTTTTCGATTCTAGTGAACCTTTGAGATATTCCTTATATACCCTTTATACCAACTTTTGTCCAATTTGTCAGTGTTTTTTTTACCTATATTATTAATACCTACCTCTACTTGTATGATATTGGTTCTTGATTTCAAAAGCTTTTTAATAATAAATTTATACAATTTTTTATTTTGTTTTCTTCAGATTTTACTATATCCTCAATATACTATTTTGAATATAGTGTATCCAAGGATGGACATAACTATACTTGTAAAGATATTTATTTTAAATTGTTCAAAAGGTCTTTTTCATAATTTCTCAACGTTAATCGTATTTATTTAACAAGCAAAAGAAATTATGAAGAAGTACTTTTAAATTTAAAATAAATATTTTTACAAGTATTGTTAAGTCCATCCGTGGACACACTGTATAATGCTGTAGAATGAATTCACATTATAACATCTATAGAAAGTTTCAGAGCAACTTTCAGGGTAAGTACCGTAAAAGTGCTAGTGTGATGTTTTCCGAACTTCACTTTTTAACTTCTGTGAGATGTGCTATAAAAGTCTTGCCGTTGCGGACATTCGGTGGTTGCAGGGATGATAGGGTTACATTAACAGTACATTGCATGCGAGCTTAAAGAGCCTAAAATTGCAGCTTATTAACGTAGATGGGATGTTTTTGTGCTAGCTGGGAATATTATCCCTTTTTACTTGCTGATATAGCCTTGTGTGGTCGGCGCTATGTAGTTGGCTTATTGGGTTTTGTTCCTGCATTAGCCTGTGAATAGCTGACCTGGTTTCTCCTTGTATGAAGATGTGCAATGGCGTGAGATTTAGTAATACCTCCATTGCTGCGGTCGGCGTAGTGCGCATGGCCCCAGTTGCACTTAGACAGGCAAGCCGCTGAATGCTAGTGAGTTGGCCTATTGCACTTGCCTGCGCAGTTTTGGTTACCCACGCCACTGCGCCATAGGTTATCATGGGTCTTATTACCCTTGTGTATAACCATATGGTCATTTTGGGGTTTAGACCCCAGTTTTTCCCACATATTCTTCTACAGCTTACGATAGCTATTGTAGCTTTATGTGTGAGTTTTTTGAGATGTTGATTCCATGTCAGCCTTTGGTCAAATATGACTCCGAGGTATTTGGCTTCTGTGACGAATGGGATAACTGTGCTGTTTAGTACTAGTGGTCTTTGACCTGTGAGTACCCGTTTTTTTTGTGAATGGTACAACTGTTGTTTTTTGTGCGTTGATGGACAATTGTTCCTTTTTGCACCAGTTGTTCACTATGTTTAGAGCTATTTGAGATCGCTTCGAGATTGTACCTGACGATGATTGCTAGGTCGTCTGCGTATCCTAGGCACTGGTAGCCTTCTTTGGACAATATTTTGAGTAAGTCGTCCACAAGAACTGACCACAGCATTGGAGATAGTATTCCTCCTTGTGGGCAGCCCCGTGTAACTTTTGCCTGTATGGTTGCCTTTCCTAGAGTGGATAAAATAATCCTGTTGTCTAGACAGGCAGTGATCCATTGGCATATTGTTACTGGGACGTTTCTCCCTTCTAGAGCCTTGGTTATTGACCTGGTTGAGGCATTGTTGAAGGCTCCTTCAATATCTAAGAAAGTGGCTATTGCGATTTCTTTGTATAACAAATTGTATTGGATATTTATTGAAACAAAAGTTACAATAAATTACTAACATTCAAATAAACGAGGTTATGTTTGCTCAAATCATTTAAAAATTTGATAAATATTTGCACAATGAGCCTAGTGAGGCCTAAGTGCCGTGATCCACCCTTCACACGTTACGGATACATATTTGTTAGAAAATCATTTATGATATTCGTGTATATCCTTTAAATATGTTCAATAATTAAATTTTCAACAGTTTAAAAATAACTCGGTAATTAAATTGATCGTTTTGCTTGTTTGCAGCCAGATCTTCTTCAACCTATGACGTGTACTAAATGCGCGTATTCTAATTTGGTTTCTGCAGACTACTGCGCCCTAATGATCGAGGGGTTAAAACAGTAGTCCGACACGGCAGAGATCCTAGGTTCAATTCCCACCAAGAGCGCGAAATGTGTCAATTTTTCTTTGGTTTGTATTCACCCTTGATTATTCAGGAATTTATTTCTAAATATCTTCCACATTTCTCAAATATTTTCTAGCTTGGTAGTTATTTAAAAAACATATATTTTTTACATAAATTTTAATGCCGTCTTTCTCCGTTATTATATAGGGTGTCTCAGAAATATTTTCGTTTATCAATACGTCCGCTGGCGCAACAGGCACATTCCTGAAAGAAGGCAGTTGGAAAATGGTGATACATAGTGTTAAGTTTTAGTTGCAGTGGAACGATTTACGGGACAACAATGTGCTTTTTGTATCCGTGCGTTTTATAAAAACAATAATTCTTATGTTATTGTGCGTCATTTGTACAACAGAAATCATTATAACATAGAAAGAATGACCGATGTCCCAACTGTAAATTTAATTAAATATTGGTTAAGAAAGTTTGCGAGTACTGGAATAGTATATTACATTACGAGTGTGGAAAATCACTTTTCACACAAGTGATGTACAATATTTTTCCTACGACCACAAAATAATGTCATCAAAAAAATGTAAAACCAAGGTTATTATTACTATAATAATTAAAATGTATTTAAAAAAATAATCAACAATAATCGTATTTATTCAATTTTCATATTTTCTAAACAAAAAAAACTAAAAAAAATAAAAAAAAAATAAAAAAAAACAAAAAAAAATTCTGCCCCGACAGGATTTGAACCATAGATTGAACGCGGTCGAAAAATGGCAAAATTGATAAGTTCGACGTCCTAACCAGCTGAGCTAACAGCCCTTGTGTCAATTGAATGATCTAATCGGTTATGTATTTAACCAAAATAAAGAGCAAACATTATTTTAAAATTATTTTAATAATAATTGTTAAAGATAAATATCTAGGATCTAATTTACAACAATTTCAATAATTTAAGAATCATATCGATTTTAGTATTAATATGGATATTACATAGATCAAAATAGAAATTAGCTTACAAAATAATATCAAAAAAATGTAAAACCAAGGTTATTATTACTATATTAATTAAAATGTATTTAAAAAAATAATCAACAATAATCGTATTTATTCAATTTTCATATTTTCTAAACAAAAAAAACTAATAAAAAATAAAAAAAAAACAAAAAAAAAATTCGGCTCCGCCAGGATTTGAACCATAGATTGAACGCGGTCAAAAAATGGCAAAGTTGATAAGTTCGACGTCTAAACCAACTGAGCTAATGGGCCTTACGTCAATTGAATGATCTAATCGGTTATGTATTTACCCAAATTAAAGAGCAAACATAATCTTAGTTATTTTAAAATTATTTTAATAATAATTGTTAAAGATAAATATCTAGGATCTAATTTAAAACAATTTCAATAATTTAACAATCATATCGATTTTAGTATTAATATGGACATTACATAGATCAAAATAGAAATTAGGCGTTTGACATTTTTTGACAACTACTGCGGAAAGTAACATATTCTCACTTGGGTGGAAAGTAAATTCTTAGTCATACGCGTGTGATATAGGACACTTTCCATAGGACTATATAGTGTGATATGTGTCACTTTCCTAAGTGGTCGTAGGAAAATTAAATTTGCACCTAAAATATCTTTCATTCTTGCTATGTTATAATGATTTCTGTACAAACGACGTACAAGAATATAACAATCACTGTTTTTATAAAACACACGAATACAAAAAGCGCGTTGCAGCCCCGTAAATTGCTCCATTGCACTATCGACCACAGTTTACCAACTGCCTTCCTTCTCGTGAAACGAAAATATTTCTGAGACACCCATCATAAAATAAATAAGCGTGTATTCTGTAGGAATATGAAAATTATAAATATAATATATTAACTTACCGGTGCCAGTTGATACAGGTACTGAAGAAGGAGCGTTGCTTCCATACGTCGGATGATGCGTTGTAGGTTGTGCGTGGGCTACCGCAGGGTTACAGCTCCGGGCGTTGTATGAAGAACTTAAAGAATGCAGAGGATCGTGGAACATGTAGGGGTAACCTGGTGCTTCCCGTTGTTGTAGACAGCTAGACGTCAAACCGCTTTGCATCGAACTGAAACAAATAAAAATAAATTAATACAAAATTAAAATTTAAGAGATCGTTGATATTCTGCCCAGATTATGTAGGCATTATAAATTTCTGGTAAACATAACTATGTTTGACTTTAATTAATTATAAATAGGCGTGAACATTGAATTTATGTCAGTTAAATGATGATAAAAATAATAAAAAATTGTATATCGTTTTTATAAATTTAATTTGCTATTTTTAATATTCGTAAATTTATTAATTTATTGATAGATCTATTCTTTCGTGGTTCCTTACAGCTTCTTATAATTTTTTTAAAGCCATTTTAAAAAAAAGAAATATTGGGACATTATATAGACTTTTTTCAGAGTAAGGTAAATAGGAGCCGTTTCACAAACGACTCATGTTTGATGATCAGTTGATATTATTATTTCAATGGGCCCTATCAGCGCCCTTACTGGTACGTACGCTGGCACATCGGCCCTCATGTACGAGTACTGTCGGCATCAGTCGGCAACTTGATTTTATTTTCTTCAATCTGATAATCTTTTTACGCACAAAACGACACCGCATTCTTCCGTTTTCGGTGACCATCAGTCGTTTGTTAAACGACTCTAAATGATTTATTAGACATTCACTACCTGTGCTTGCATATAAAATCGGTAAAAATGTGAAATAGAGCATCCAACTCCTCCAGAAAATATAGGGCAGACCAGAAGAATTCCAAACAATTTATTATCCCCAAAATCCGCAAAGGCATACGAAAAATTGTTCACTCAGTTTATGGATTGGGAGACTAATAAGGCAAGCAGCTTTTCAGAAAATGTAATGCTTATTTTGATGACTTATCCATAAAACCTACAAGTTTGTGGACGCATTATTTAATTTTTAAATCTACCGCTTGTGTCTCATTACGTTAATAGATAATCCACCTCTAGATATGGGTCATTACAGCAAGTCTTTATAATTTTATTAACAGCGATGGAAAGTAATTTTTTTACGATCACTATCCAAAGTAGGCTTTTGCACATTCAAGTCTAACTAGAAAGTTGACGTTTTCTGCAATTTGTCATAATTTGATATTATTAATAATATATAATGTTTATTTACATCAATAAATTTACAATAAAAAAAAACAGTTTCAAAATACAGTGTGTCAATAAACATGTGACGACCACATAAGCGAACTTGTATGTGGCATGGATATTTTTTTTATAGAATATTAACGCCTCCTTAGATATCTTACACTCCACAAGGAAAGCCCTGTACGTGAAAGGTAAGACTCTATTTTTGGCTGGCTGATTAGTTGTTTATTTTGATTGCATGCATTATTAAATAATAAAATACATTTATTTCTTATATACTAAAAAGGAAAAAAAAATGTTACGGGTTGAACTGGAAGTTGTAGATACAAACAATAGCACATTAACAAAAAAAAAAAAAATAAATATATATATATATATATATATATATATATATATATACATAATATACTTATTCCTAAAAAGAAATAGAAATATTTTTGTTTATGTTACAGGTTAAGCAGGAAGCTAGGGATATAAGTAATAGTTTTCAATCATTTGGTGTATATCATTCCTTGACTGTGAATAAATCCAATTTCTAACTAATTTTTTGAACAAGTATTTCGAGTTCACGTTTTTTATTTCACCAGGTAATCTGTTATAGATTTTTGGGCCGATATACCAGAAACTGCGTTGAGTATTTGATTTTTTCACCTTAGGTAGGTACGTTTGATTTATTTTTAATCGAGTATTATACTTATGTTCAATTTGTTTTAGTTCAGCTTTATTTTGGAATTGTCTGAGTAATAGACATTCACAGAACAGCTGACGGATGTCATATATCTGAGTTTCTGCAAATAGTTCTTCAGTAGAGTAGGTAAAATGTTTTTTATAAATAATTTTTATTAAAGTCTTTTGTGTTATTTCTAGACTATGCATATGTGCTTTAAGTGCTCCACCCCAAGCAACAATTCCAAATCTGAGATGTGATTCAATTAGTGAGTAATATAATATCATCATCTGCTTAACAGAAAGAATTCGAGACAGGTATCTAAATTTATAAAGTAACATTCTGAGTTTTTTGGTAACGTAATTTATATGTACGTCCCACTTAATGTTTTGGTCTATATATACTCCCAGATACTTTATGTGAGATGTGTATTGGCGGTACTTATTTTGCAGTAATTAAAATAAAGGTAGTCATTATTAGAGCTAATCAGTATTTTAATACAAAATTTAGACTAATCTGAATATTTTACTTAAACATCCAATTTTTAAACCCAAATTTACCTTAATATTTAAAGGATAATTGAAATATTACCCCTTAAGTAGGCACAACCGCGATGAATGACAATTATTATAGGTGTTTCAACTTCTCTCAAATCCCATATAAAAACAAAAGACGATATGGCACCAAACTCAACGTAGTTCCAAAAAATCTATCAGAGGTCGTTAGAAGGTGAGGTACCCGTTTGACAATAGTCTATTCCCTTGCATCTAAAGTGTAGCACTAAGTTACACAAATTCTTAAAATATCGTTCCATCCTTACAATTTCAGAAGTGGCGTAGCTCAGTGCTACACTTTCGATGCAAAGGAAAAGATCTTGTAAGCGCTAGATAAAGTATGTTTTAACATCAACATGTATCCAACTTCAATATCTGGCCATTAGATGATTGGTCAATCATTTGACATGTTATTATACTGTAATGTAAGCCATTTCATTATTCAGTCATGCTCTAATCCTCTAAGTCCCTCTCTGTCTTATTTGGCCTTTGAGGCTCAATTTGTCCGATTATCTTACATAATTAAACCCCTTAAGACCAAACATATGTGACGACTACGGCGAAGGCGCTTTCTAATACTTTCCAGGTAGAATGTGTTTCTAGTTTTGGCGGGGGAGCAATCTGGAATCCACCAGAAATTTAAATGTAAATATTGGTGGAGGAACAACGGGTCAGTCAGTTGTATAAAAACATTTGTGAAGATAAATAGTGAACAGTTTAAAGACATTAGAAATATATATAAATTGAAATAGTATTGTTTTAAAATAAATAAGTGTTTAAATAAATTATTTACAAATAAACTGTTATTTAAAATAAACCAATACTAATGTTTAGGAAGCATAACATATTATATTTACGAACAAATATAATTGTATTTTATTTATAACTCTAATAATTTTAAAATATTATTTATTGTTGTTAGTTTAAGTAATGCTTTTTCGTCTTTGTTGAGGTCTTTTTATTGTTGTCTAGTCTAGTTATTGTTGATCTTAGATATCAATGATGTACTGATGTCAAATGTTAATTTAGATATTAAAAGTAGAAGTGGACGATGTAGAAATAAAAAAAATACGTATGGCACTTAGGGACTGCCGCGGTAAAGCTATTGCATAGCATTTTTATCAACTTATGCAATTTTAATTATTTATTTTATTTATGCAGTTTTTTTTCCTTTGATATTAATTCAAGTTTTTTCTTTGATATTAATTCAGGTTACACTTTTTGAGCGTTGTGACCGATAAGAAAAATGTTCTTCTTTTATTGTTTAAATTATTTTTCATTTCATTTGTTACATAGAGTATGATTAGTAGATATTAATAAATTACTATTATTAAAAAAAAAATTGGATACAGACGTATTTTTTATACTTGTTAAAGATAAATTTAACTGAATTTTTATGACAGTTCGCAGTCATTATTTATTTTCATTTGCGGTACCTCACCTTCTACCGACCTCTGGAGAATTTTTTGATTTTATGCACTGTTTGGTACCATATTTTAAAAAGAGTTGAAACACCTGTAAAATGTCATTCATAGTGGGCACACAATATACATAACACAAGATTCGCTAGCGCTGGCTGTCAAATAAACATTATAATAAAATTTAAATTTCGTAATATCGTGTGGTAGTAGAAAAAAATCTTGCATGCAATTCGAATAGAAAGCTATTTGCCGCGTACAATAAATTACCGCTCTCTGCTGGCGCGTCGCACGGCAACTTTTTGTCTCAAGCGGCAAAGCAACACTTTGCGTTATACATAAATAGTTATTTTCAACAAACGAGAAGAAAATCCTACCTTTGCACACGCATTTTACTATAGAAAGATATACTTTTCCCCTCAAGTGCAGATAAATCGATTTCTTCCATTTGCTTTCCGTTACTAGTTCCGTATTTACTTTTATTTTCCTCAAACTTGTAGGAAAAATATTCCTAACACATGCGAAAAGTATCACTCGGCTGCGGTTTGTATCGTTCGGGCATCGGCAGTCTTATGTAGGAAAGAGTCACTTTTCGCACTGATTAATAAAATAACTTTGTTTTTTATTTATTTTTTTTTATATCTGTCAATGTCAAGATTCACATACGGCCCTTGGTAAAACAAAAAATACTTTTTTCTACACCCATATTATAATAATGCACTTATATGCCCATAAGCCGTTTCATAATGATACCCATTGTGATACAGATTTTTAATCTATTAAAACCCTAAATTTTTCAATCAAGCATGCTGTGCATTTGACATTTGTCCTACGTTCCTATGTAATTGTTTTAATTGTCAATATCAGTACGTATCAAATTTTCGTAGATAGCTAAACTTCGATAATTATATTATCAAAATGTCTGATATCAGCGATATAGAAGACTTTACCATCGACTCCTCCACACATATCGGAGAAAGCAGAAAATGCAGTACAAATATTTTGCCCCAAAAATCTATGGTAATACCAATACCCGAGGTAATACCATTAATTACAATTTTGTAGAATTTTTTATAGAGATACGAGTAATTACTGTCATTGTGTTCAATACAAATATAAATATAATATTTATAGCTCTTGATTATTTATCGGGTGTAGAAAAAATAGCGTATGCAACTGTCATGTAATCGTTATTAATACATGATCGTTGCAAAATATACTATTCTGGTCTATGACAAACAAGTAATTATATACAAAATAAAATACAAAAATAATAATAAATATTATGTAGGTGCTTTTA